CATATATCTAAAAGGTCTAACAAAAATGTATTGCTCAAAAGCAATAGCAATAGCAGTAGACTTATATACCGCTTCATAGGCCTTTCAGGCCTCTCTAAGCGGTTTACAGAGAGTCAGCATATTGCCCCCAACAATCTGGGTCCTCATTTTACCCACCTCGGAAGGATGGAAGGCTGAGTCAACCCTGAGCCGGTGAGATTTGAACCGCTGACCTGCTGATCTAGCAGTAGCCTGCAGTGCTGCTTTTAACCACTGCGCCACCTTGGCTCTAGCAGTAGCCTGCAGTGCTGCTTTTAACCACTGCGCCACCTTGGCTCTTAATACAATACAATGTGCTGTAAAATGATTAGCTGATGATTTCCGGTAACCATATAGGACTTGCACCAAGTTCTTTTTCTTCATTCCAAACCTTTGCAAATGAATATTTGGTTCCCTTGGTTCTGCTGTCATTGTTTCTTCTCTTGATATGCAGTTGTAACACATTTTATAACTCTTAGCCAAATAGTGCCGTTTCTTTGAAAATAAGACCTCTCCAGATAATAAGCCTGCTGCTGTGTTGCCGCAACAGCGTAACACAGCAGCAGCCATGAGGTGATCATGCTCACCGCCTCCTGCACCTCAACAATAATAAGACTACCCTGAAAATAAGGCCAAACATTTATTTTGAGGATCAAAATGTCTTATTTTCAAGAAAACATGGTAAGTTCTAAAACCAAGTCACACCATCATTAGCTTATAATGGTTTATTATATTCAATAATGTCTTCAGAATATTTCCTTGTACTGCTGTAGATGTCAGAAACTGGATATAGTTCATAGATGTGTATACTAAATCAGCTGATCAGTTATCTCTGCAAAATAATCATCTGTGGTTGTGAGAGGGGAACATTTCCTTTGTAGTAATAGCTTTAAAAAATCATGGATTTTGTTTTGCTTCTTAAAAATCTTGACTTTTCTGGAGTATCTTTATACTAGTAAGAGGGCTAGCTGATTTCAAATGTAGATGTGCTTATTCAACATTATCCAAGTTACTTTTGAAGTATTCTTACTAAAGAAACCATTAAAAGATTATTTGATCATTACATCAGTAATAAAACTCATTTTAATATGCTAGAAGCAAATATTCATAAATGAATATTGCTTTCTCTATAATCTGATTGTCAACAAACCATAATGTGTATATTGCCAAACTCTCTTGTATTAATATAATTAAAAAGTGATAACATTGTATCCGTATCAAAGCTTCAGGTATTTATTTTTAAAAAGCTACAAAATACAAAATAACAAAAAAACAGAGCATAATTTCCTGTAATACAAGTGATTTATGCTTGTATGCTACCTGTGCTTTTCTTTTTAAAGGGGAAGGTTTTTGGTATTTTATCTGAAATGTACGGTTTATACTTCATGTACTCTAGTGAATAACTTTTATATTTTTAGGAGAACAAGAGCAAGATTTAAGTCTTTTTGGGGGACTGCATTATCATTTGATTGGGCTTTGCTCCATTAAAAAGGGTAAACATAGGCTGTACAATTCAGCAAGAATAACAGCTTTCTCAGTTTTATGTGATAGGTCCTCAATTTACAACCATTCTTTTAATGATCATTTGAAGTTACACTTGGAAAAAATGATTTATGAATGATCCTTACACTTAGGACTCGATCACACGATCCAAATTCAGGCACTAGGCAACCAACATGTATTTACGTTTGCAGAATCCCAGGTTCACATGATTGCCATTTGCATCCTTCCAAGATGGCTTTGGACAAGCAAAGTCAATGGGGGATCAAGATTCACTCAACAGCTGTGTGTTTCACTTAACATCTGCAGCAATTTGCTTAACAACCAGGGCAAAAAAGAATATAAGATTGGGTGAGAGCCACTTAATACAGCTAAGCAATAGAAATTCCGGGACCATTGTCTGCATACATATACTATATATAGATAACTCTCATGGCTTAGGATTCAGATACTGATTTGGAAGAAGTTGTTCCAGCAAAATCTGTATAGTGTCAGCATCAGGTATTTCCCCATTTCTAATTTCATTTTTAATTTTTTTAATTTTTTTCATAGTCGGTGAAGAAGAAACATGTCTTGAGAATTGTCCATAAAGAGAAACAGATCAGCCAGGTGGAGGGGGGGGGGTCCCCATCACCTATGCTACCATTTTGTTCCTTTAGTAATCACCCACTCCACTTTCTATAGATCAGGTCTTAAAGTACATAGATTATTTTTTCCCACCACGAAACCAGCTATATATCCTATCAATCTGTATACTTAAATGGCAGTATAAGAGCATACACAAACAGGCTGCTGAGAAATGTCACCAGCAGCTCCATTGCATCTCATTATAAAGGCATTAGTATCTTTTCCTCACCTTGCAGACCTGCAATCTAATGAATTTGTTGTTTCCTTTCTGTTGCACACAGAGCATTGATGATAGTGACAAATTGCTGCCTACATGTAGGCACAACGGGCCTACCATCAACTGGAGCAGCAGTGGATGAAAATGATTGTTAAAATCTGAGCAGGGGAATGGAGCACACCCAGCACGGCTGTATTGCATTCAAGCATCTGGCGTTCACAAGGCATATTTTGATTTTCATTTTGTGACAGGTTGAAACAAACTTATTTCCCGAACCTTACTAACAACTTAATTGGCAAGTGGTTTTAAATGACTATTGAACTCATGTATGAAATTTCACAGGGATAGGCGATGTCTCCATATTCCCATTGAAAACATCCCCATGTACATCAATCTTCCACTTTGTATAATGGCACCTTAGGACTATGTAATTAATTTCTGAAAGCTACATCCCACACTAGGAATATTAGTATTGTAAACAACATTATAAATTCTGAATGGAGTTTCTTCAAAGCTATCTCGGTCAAGTAATGAATATTTACGTTTAGCATCCCTCCACTTGATTTTTTTTTCAGATTCCAGGAAATGTTACACTGAGTTTCCTGCCAACCTCAGTTTCTATTCCCAACCTAAGATTATGTTCGAGGGAAATTTAATAATTATGTTCATAAATCACAGATATGTAGGCCTCTAATATACTAGAAGTAGTTCTTAACTTCTGACTATTCAAAGTCACAACGGACTTGAAAAAGGGGACTTATTATCCAGATCCAAAGTTTTGATAGTTGTCCCGCTTCCCCCCAACACATGACCCACACTTCAGGCACTCAGCAACACAGCGGCATTTATGGCCACTTGCAGCATTGTGTGGTGATGTGACATAAATGACAGACATCCTTGCCAAAACCAGCAGATCTGGTTTTCAGCAAAATGACAGCATTTGTTTCATGACCAACACCAAAAAAAGGTTGTAAAATTTGACTGATCTATTTTATGATTCTTATGACATAACCACAACAGGCAGGATATATATATATATATATATATATA